AAGTGTATCGTTGTGGGTGACAAATTATTTTCCACCCCGAAACAGCTTTCTCACACATGAAACGTCGCAAGCATCTTATTGCTCCATTGCTATGGAAAGTGTTCAAACGAACTACATTCCTTAGTTCCACCTGTTCTAACGTACGTGGCTAAGAACCGCCATACCACCCCAGCGAACCACCTTCATTCTCTTCGTATTCCTTTGGTAAGATTTAAGTTCCAGTCGAACAGCTTCTTCCCACGAACCTCTTCTTTGTTGAACTGACTCCCAAGAGGATGCTTTCCTGATCACTACAATCTTAACCTGTTCAAGTCTAGGGTTAACAGTTATCTTCAACACATATCCGCATAAACTGTGCCTCTTGTCTTTAATCCTCTAACTCGAGTGGCTCTTGAACCTTGTACAGATCAAGAAACATAATTCTCTTCAGTATACACCTCTGGTCAAAATCTTAAGACGAGATACAAATGGGTTAAAAAAAATATAAAATACTGTTACTTGAATCAACCAAAAAAATTCTTTTTTTCAATGTTTGTTGAAATTAATCAATTAAAAGCTTAAAATTTTCAATTGTTTGCTGATAACCAACATTTTGCTGATAACCAACATTTTGCTGATAGCCAATATTTTTCTAATTAAATGTAACGGTTTCGCAAATATATTTTGTTTAAAGTAACAGTATTTTATATTTTGTCCAACCCGTTTCTATCTGGTCTTAAGATTTTGACCAGAGGTGTATATTTAAAAGAATAACAAAGATTGTTTATTCTACCAGGTCAAGAGGAGTGGATAACATATAAATAAAAATTATTTTCCCCCTTACAATCCTTTATTCATAGACAAAACGTCGCAAACATCTTATTACTCTATCGCTATTTCCATGGAAATTGTTCAAACGAACTATTAGGTTGGTGCAAAAATAATGACGTAAGAATGTCGTTTTTTAACGTAGAAAAGTACGTCAAAAAACAACATTATTACGTCATTATTTTTGCACCAACCTAATACATTCCTTAATTACACCAGTTTTAACGTCCATGGCTAAAAACCGCCATACCCCCCAGCAAACCAGCTTCATTCCTTTCGTATTCCTTTGGTAAAATTTAAGTTCCAGTCGAACAGCTTCTTCCCACGAACTGCTTCTTTGCTGAACCGACTCCCAAGAGGATGCTTTCCCGATCACTACAATCTTAACCTGTTCAAGTCTAGGGTTAACCATTATCTTCCTCATATATCCGCATAAAGAGGGTCTCTTACTCTATAACCCTCTACCTTGGGTGGCCCCTTGGCCTTGTACATTGTATAATTCGCTACCTCTTCGTCACCTAGGCCCGTTTGTACAGCTGGTATGACGTTTGCCTGATAACGTAATTGTCCGGGTTTCAATTCTCGGTCGTGGATGCGCACTGCTGATGAGTCCCAAATATAGGACGAAACGGCCGTCCAGTGCTTTCTGCATTCTGGTGAGGTTTCTTCTACACTCGATGAATTGCTTAATATATATATATATGTTTCAAGTACATTTGGTCGTTTTGAAAGGTAGAGAGTCGCAAAATGGCAAAGTTTAACAAACGCACCAGCAAAAAACAACGGTGTATCAAAAGGGCGTTTTTTTTTCCTTGTCATTATTGTTCGATCACTGTATATTCCGTCGGCAATTTTGATTCTTTTAAAAAAAAGTTATTTTAAGAATTTTAATAAAACCAAAACATAGCAAATTGGATTTATGCATTCGATATTATTTTTTTTATTAGATTGTTTATTTATAAGAATAATTTTATATTTACAAGTTTATAAAAAAATGTGTGAATCAAATATTTATTATTTATCATATTATAAAAAAAAACAATTTTTATTTCTAAATTTATAAAAATATCTGAAGAAAATGAGAAAAACACAAAACGTATAAAGTTTTTGTTTTTTTTTCAAAATAAAAACGAAAATATTAAAATTCTATGAGAAAAAATAATTAAAATGTTGAAATTGAGTTAAAATTAATATAGATAAATATTTGCCTATATTTCTGAGATAAGATATTGTAATTATTTACTTTATTTGGACTGTTGTCCTCATATTTATTGCCATATTCACTCGCATGTGAATTCACATGGCCCAATGGATAAAAGAGTTAGTTGAGTCCCGTGAATTGACCCAAAGCTTTGTGATGATTTTCCAAGCATAGCTTAGATGTGGCACAAGGCCGAAAGTATGGGGCATCCAGTGAGGATCGAACTCACTATTCTGACGTAATTGATTTAGCGAAACAAGCTTGCTAACCATTACACCACGTCGAGGTGTCCCAACCCAAAGATTTGTGAGTTCAATACCTAATGGCGGACAAAAAAAAACAAAAAAAAGTAGGAGAGTTGAGTTAATGGGCGATAACAGAAGAAGAGACACGGCACGGGGAACTAGAAAAATCTACCCCGGTGGACGAAATAAAGGGTTCAATTCGAAATTCCGATTACCTGAAGAAGGCCGGAGTGTACAACGGCCGAAACGTCGTGAATATGGCAATAAAGATTGGGACAACAGTCCGAACAATCTAAATAATGTAGATAAACGGTTAGATTTTATCAAATTAATATATATTTATTAAATATAACAAAGATCAGCGTTCCGTTTCAATATGATCACGTGGGCATCACGTGAGCGATGTTATGAAAACGTATTCCTAAAATAGAGATCTTGAAAAATTTCAGTTATCTGTTTTGATCAGTCTTACACTTATGTCCATCGTTTTTTCATGTTGAATTGAATATAGTCTAATGTTAATTATGTTTTATGAATATGTCCTGAAGATGGTCTACTAGACCGAAACGTCCGAAGTTGACATTATATTAACATTAAAACTGCATATTAAGATTTTTGCATATTAAGATTAATTGCATATTAAGATTTTTGTTTTTTTTTTCCGTATATTTTTCTTCATATATATATATATATATATATATATATATATATATATATATATAATTATTTTTTAAATATGATTCCATCGCTACACAGGAATTACCATGTTTCAAAAACAGAAGCTAAAGACTGTTTCTGTGTTTGAAACATGGTAAATCCTAAAGCGATGGAATCATATTATTAATAAAAATAATTATAGGCTCTACTTGTGTATTGAGCACTGTTTTTTTTTAAATAAAAACAAAAATACTAAAGAACTTCAGATTATCAATCTAACAGTTCTTTCCTATTTTATCAATATATTTGCACACACACACACATATATATATATATAGTTACAGTACCTTTTGAATTCCGAAATTTGTGTCGGCCGTTCCAAGACATCCGGGCAGACGTTTTACGGTCATCAAGGGATAAGACTTCGACATTCACCAGATTTTTTTTATGTTCTTTTTCTTTCGCTTTAGTACCCCTCGCAAGAAGATTGAACGTTTGAAGAAAGTCCCTGAGAAACCACATACCCTCGATTCGGCCGATGTTAATTTGAAGTGAATAAAATTATTCATTTACATTTTGAAAAATTTAGTTTCGTATTCTTAACAGATGCTACGAACATTACACTGTCTCTACAGCCACACCTTCGGTCACTTCACCCTTCCTTTCTTATTTTTACACACCTATATATATATATATATATATATATATATATATATATATATATATATATATATATATATATATATATATAGTTTAATACCTTTTGAATTCCGACATTTGTGTTGGCTGTTCCAAGACATCCGGGCAGACGTTTTACGGTCATCAGGAGATAGGACTTCGACATTCGCCAGACCAATTTGATGTTATTTTAGGATCAATTCACGAAAATACAAAAAAAATAAAGTCAAGTCGACGTGACTAACCATTAATGTTTTATAAAACAAAGTTCACTTTATTTCTAACACGCCTCTCTTTCTTTCTCCTCCCTCTATTCGTTCTGTCCATCTGTTCACATTCCCCTCTCTTATTTCTTCCTTCTTTCTCTCTCTGTCTTCTCTCTTGTCCTATACCCATTTCTCCATCTTATCCTTCCTTCCTTTCTTTCTCTCTTTTATTTGTCTTTGTCTATCTTCTTCTCTTCCTTTTCTTTTTCTCTTCTTCTTTCTCTCTTTCTTCGTTCCGTCCGTCATTATACATTCTCTCTCCCCCCCTCTCTCTCTCTTCTTGTCTCTTTTTTTCTCTCTCTCTCCTCATTTCTCTCTTACCTTTCTCCGCTTCCTCTTTCTCGCCAGCGTTTCTTCTCTTTCTTTTCCTTTTCTTATGTCAGTTCACTCTCTTTTCGCTGCCCATATTCTCGCCTCCCCCTTTCTTTTTTATTCCTCTTTCCTTCTGTCACCCTCTCCTTACTTTTTTCTCTCTTTTCTTTATTTTTATCACCTTTCACCTCCTCTTCAACTCTCACTCTTTGTTCTGTCCATCTTTTCACGTTCTTTATTCTTTCTCTTCTCCTATCACCCTCCCTCTCTTCTCTTTCCCTTCTACTATTACTCTCTCTTCACTCTCTTAGCTCTTCTCACATTCGCTTCTCTCCTCCCACTATCTTTCCTCCTTTCCATAGGTCTTTTTTCTCTTCTTTTTTTCTTTTTCGTCCCTTTCTTTTTTTCTCCAATCCGCTCTATCCTTACCCTTCCTCTTCACCACTCAGATTCTTCTCTCTTCTCTCGCTCCTACCCTCTCATTATCTGTCTCTCTCTTGTTCTTGTTCTTCTTCTTCTTCTTCTTCTTCTTCTTCTTCTTCTTCCTCTCATCCTCTTTCCATCTCTTTTTTCCCCTCTTTTTCTTTTCTCTCCATCTCTTATTCCCTCTCTTATTTTCTTAATCTTATTATTTTCTTTCACCGCTTTTCCACTCTCTTCTCTTTCCCTTCTACTTCTTCTCCCTTTTCACGCGCTTAGCTCTGTCCATCTTCTTACATTCACTTCTCTTCTCTATCTCTCCTCCTTTTCTCTTGCTCTCACTCCTTTCTTTTTCTTCTTGCTCGCTAAATAAGGACTCGACTGACAACCCCAAGATCTGGATCTACTGACGAGTCATAGATATGTCACACAGAAATGGCTCCACCGACGAGACGTAGGTATGCTACAAGAGACAACACCGATATATGGCTCTAAGAGATATGTCTCTACCAACAAAGCCAGTATGTAACTCCGAAGAGACATGGTTCCAGAGAGGACGCCTAGATATGATTCTACCGACGACAATGACATATGACTGTAACGACGAGTTATGGATCCAGAGAAGCCAAAGAAAGATGGGTCCACCGCCTTCAAAGAAATAAAGCTCAACGGAGGACACCGAGAAACGGCTTAACTGACATCACCTAGACATCGCTATATCGTCGACACTAAGATATGTCACTACCAACAAAAACGAGATATGGCTTCATTGACGACATTGATATATGGCTCCACCAGCGGCAACTACCTAAGAACTGACAACAACACCGAGATATGGCTCCATCGGCAAAAACGACATATAGCTCCACTGACGACAGCAAAGTATGACTCTACCGACAAAATCGAGATATGGCTCCACCACTGAGGCATTAATATGAAACCAGCGATGACACCAATATATGGCTCCAAATGCACCATCTAGATATGGACTGCCGACAACACCGGAATATGAACTACCGATGGCACCAAGATATGGCTCCAGTGACGGCACTGAGAATTGGCTCCACCGACGACACTGAGATATAGCTTCACAGATAACACTGATATATGTCTCCAGCGGCACCACATAGATGTGAACTACAAACAACGACACGGAGAGATGGCACCACCGCCGGAATATAGTTATGACACCGAGATACGGCTCAAAAGACGCCACCTAGATTTGATCTGCCGATGATACCAATATATGAACTTCCGATCACACCGAGAAATGGCTTCAGCAACAACACCAAAATGGCAACTATATATGCCTCCAAAGACAACACAGTGATATGTGTCCAACGTGGACAACGACAATAATGAGATATGGCTCCAGCGACGACACCCAGATATGGCTCCACAGACGAAAACAGCATATTGCTCAACCTACAACACTGCGATATGGCTTCACCGACGGCACTGGCTCCGCTAGGACAGCAACATATGATACCTAGATATGACCTACCGATGACTCCGAGATAAGAACTAGCGGCAATGCTCCGATTATGGCTCCACCTACGGCACCGTGATATCTCTTCATTTACGATACTGAGAAATATCTCCACCTGCGACACTAACATTTGACTCTACAGATGTCAACAAGATATGACGCGACAGACGGCAGCGAAAAGTGATTCCATCTATGTCAGCCAGATATGGCTCCACCAACTACTCCCGTGTTATGGCTCCAACAATGCCACCCATATAGGGATCTACCGACGCCACACATAGATCTACCGACGATACCTTGATATCGCTCCATCTATGACGCCATGATATAGATACCTAGATATAACACTAACGTTAACACCGAAATATGGATCTACCGTTGACACCGGGATATGGATCTACCAGCGACACCGTGATATGGATTTACCGATGACACAGATATATAACTCGACAGACGACTCCTATATATGGCTCTACTGACAACATAAAGATATGAACTACCGCGATATGGCTCCACCGACGAAACGGACATATAGTTCCATCGACAACAACGAAATATGGATCTACCAACGACACCGTGATATGGATTTACCGATGACACAGATATATAACTCGACAGACGACTCCGATATATGGCTCTACTGACCACATCAAGATATGAACTACCGAAGAGACTGCGATATGGCTCCACCAACGAAACCTACATATAATTCCACCGAGAAAGTGATCTACCGATGGCAGAGGATTGACAGACGACGCCGACATATGGCTCTACTGACCACATCAAGATATGAACTACCGAAGAGACTGCGATATGGCTCCACCAACGAAACCGACATATAATTCCACCGAGAAAGGGATCTACCGATGGCAGAGGATTGACAGACGACGCCGACATATGGCTCTACTGACCACATCAAGATATGAACTACCGAAGAGACTGCGATATGGCTCCACCAACGAAACCGACATATAATTCCACCGAGAAAGGGATCTACCGATGGCAGAGGATTGACAGACGACGCCGACATATGGCTCTACTGACCACATCAAGATATGAACTACCGAAGAGACTGCGATATGGCTCCACCAACGAAACCTACATATAATTCCACCGAGAAAGTGATCTACCGATGGCAGAGGATTGACAGACGACGCCGACATATGGCTCTACTGACCACATCAAGATATGAACTACCGAAGAGACTGCGATATGGCTCCACCAACGAAACCGACATATAATTCCACCGAGAAAGGATCTACCGATGGCAGAGGATTGACAGACGACGCCGACATATGGCTCTACTGACCACATCAAGATATGAACTACCGAAGAGACTGCGATATGGCTCCACCAACGAAACCGACATATAATTCCACCGAGAAGGGATCTACCGATGGCAGAGGATTGACAGACGACGCCGACATATGGCTCTACTGACCACATCAAGATATGAACTACCGAAGACACTGCAATATGGCTCCACCGACGAAACCGAAGATTAGGTACCACTGGCGGCAAAATGCCAGCCAAATTCTGTTTTCTATATCCATTTTTGAAGATTTTTTGTAGATTGTTTTTTTAAATATCAATACTCCCGTGGTATTTTCGCGTTTATAAGTCATGAAACTGAAAAAAAGGTGTGGACTTTTTCTTTGTTTACTGAGAATTCTTTCTCGTGTCTTTCTTAGTGCCTGCTCCACCCCTCGCCAGTGTTCGGCTTCGCACGTCTTTCAAAATATCCGGACTTTGCAGTAAAGTTATATTCATGCTGAGATCCGTCCTCTAATTGCGTTGCTTCTGGTTTTGTCTTTGATTCTTTTAATGGATCTGATCCGGCTGACATTTCTTTGTTCCAGTGTTTCTTTGTTTCTTTCTTTCTGTTTCTTTCTTTCTTTGTTAACTATTACCATTTTCATTTTCTTGGATTCTTTTCTTTTCTTTTTTTTTACTTATATTTTTCTGTCTTACTTTTATTGTCTTTTTCTTCCTTTGTATTCCTTCTTTCTTTCTTTTTTTTCTTCTTTTTACTGTTCAAATTAACTGCCTACAACACAATATTTAAGATTCTTTCTTAGTCGTACGTACTTGTATTTCTTTCTTGGTTTTTTGCTTGCTTGCTTTCTTTTTATATTTAAAGCCCGTAAAACTATTCTTTTACACCAACCCTTGTCAAAGCGCAGATGTTTTTTTTCTTCCTTCCTTCCTTCCTTCCTTCCTTCCTTCCTTTCTTTCTTTCTTTTTCATTCTTTCCTTCTTTCTTTCTTTCTTTCTTTCTTTGTATTTCTTCTTACTTTCGTTATTTCATTACTTTACTGTTTAGTCAAATTAACTGCCTACGACACAGTGTATAAGATTCTTTCTTACTCGCTCACACTCGTATTTTTTCCTTCTTCAAGGCTTTCTTTTTCTTCCTTGCTTTCTTTCTTTCTTGCTTGATTGCTTTCTTCCATGCTTGCTTGCTTTCTTTCTTTCTTTCTAGTTTGCTTTCTTTCTTTCTTTCTTTCTTGCTTGCTTGCTTTCTTTCTTTCTTTCTTTCTTTCATGCCTGCTTTCTTTCTTGCTTGCTTGCTTGCTTTCTTGCTTGCTTGCTTTCTTTCTTTCTTTCTTTCTTTCTAGTTTGCTTTCTTTCTTTCTTTCTTTCTTGCTTGCTTGCTTTCTTTCTTTCTTGCTTGCTTGCTTGCTTTCTTTCTTTCTTCCTTGCTTGCTTGCTTTCTTTCTTTCTTGCTTGATTGCTTTCTTTCTTTCTTTCTTTCTTTCTTTCTTTCTTTCTTTCATGCCTGCTTTCTTTCTTGCTTGCTTGCTTGCTTGCTTTCTTCCTTGCTTGCTTTCTTTCTTTCTTTCTTTCTTTCTAGTTTGCTTTCTTTCTTTCTTTCTTTCTTTCTTTCTTTCTTTCTTGCTTGCTTTCTTTCTTTCTTTCTTTCTTTCTTTCTTTCTTTCTAGTTTGCTTTCTTTCTTTCTTTCTTTCTTTCTTGCTTGCTTGCTTTCTTTCTTTCTTGCTTGCTTGCTTTCTTTCTTCCTTGCTTGCTTTCTTTCTTTCTTTCTTTCTAGTTTGCTTTTTTCTTTCTTTCTTTTCTTTCTTTCTTTCTTTCTTTCTTTCTTTCTTGCTTGCTTGGTTTCTTGCTTGCTTGCTTGCTTTCTTTCTTGCTTGCTTGCTTGCTTTCTTTCTTCCTTGCTTGCTTTCTTTCTTCCTTGCTTGCTTGCTTTCTTCCTTGCTTTCTTTCTTTCTTTCTTTCTTGCTTGCTTGCTTTCTTTCTTCCTTGCTTGCTTGCTTGCTTTCTTCCTTGCTTGCTTTCTTTCTTTCTTTCTTTCTTTCTTGCTTGCTTGCTTGCCTGCTTTCTTTCTTTCTTGCTTGCTTGCTTGCTTTCTTTTTATATTTAAAGCCCGCAAAACCTAATTCTTTTAGACCCATCCCTGACTATGCACAGGCAGTATTCCTTTCTTTCTTTCTTGCTTGCTTGTTTGCTTGCTTTCTTTCTATTTTGCTTGCTTTCTTTTTACATTTAAACCTTTCATTAATTTTTATATTTTTGCTCCTTAAAAACTCGGAATCCTGTGAAATATCATCATTTCCAATCCTCGTATTTCATTTCTTTTTGTCTGTCTTTCTTAAGTAGCTTGTAAACACCTCATTCTTTCTTTCTTTCTTTCTTTCTTTCTTTCTTTCTTAATTCGTTCTTTCTTTTTTCTTTCTCCTTTCATTTTGTTTCTTTCTTTCTTCTCTTTTTTCTCTGTTCATGATATTGTGTAAATCTTCATTCTTCTTTGTCGGGCCTTGTCCAAAGCGCATTGTCTTTTTTTCTTTCTTTTTTCTACCTTCTTTTCTCCGTTTTTCCTTTCTTTCTTTCTGATTTTCTTTCTGTCTTTCTTTCTTTCTATTTCTTAAATGTCTTTTCTTTCTTTCTTTTTCGTCTGTTTTCTTTTCCTCATTGTCTCTCTCGTCTTTCCTCCATTTTTTCTTTCTTTTGTTAATTCGTTCTTTGTCTTTCTCCTTTCATTCTTTCCTTCTTTCTTACATTTTTCTGTTCATTAAATTCTGTAATCCTTTGTTCGTCTTTGTCTGGTCTTGTCCACGTGGCGTTATTTCTTTCTTTCTTCCTTTATTTCTTTCCTTTTTTTTCTAGTTGCTAAATTTCTTTTCTTTTTTGTCAATTTTTTCCTCTTCATTGCCTGTTTTGTTTTCTTTTCTTTCTTTCTTCATTCCTTTCTTTCTTTCTTTCTTTCTTTCTTTCTTTCTATGAAACCCCTTTTTTATCCACTGTCTTTGTTTTTCTTTCTTTCCATTTTTTCTTTTACAGATGTCAAACTTTCTCTCCTGTCTTCTTAACATATTCGTCTCGCATTCTATCCTTTTCTTTCTTTCTTTCTTTCTTTCTTTCTTTCTTTTCATTATTTTCATTCGACCTCACCTTTTCCTTTCTTTCATGTTATACTTCTTCATTTTTTCTTCTTTTCTTTTTTTTAACTGATTCATCAATCACTTTTTCTTTTCTTTTTAATCAGACTAAATATCACTATCACAACACAAACTTATATGTTTTGACCTTTGACCACCCGGTGTCTCTCCTCACATTTCCGGTTGTCACAGGACTGTGTCACCGGCCACATTTCCGCCGATCAGTTGCTGCCTTGTCGCTCAAAATAGCACTGCCACTCAGAAGGAGTTCAAGCAAACCAGCACGGTTTCATTCCAAGACACTTCCTGCTGTCACATATAGTAGCCCATCCGAATTCTCCAAAGACAATTTGCTATCTACGTTACAAAAAAAAATCGGGATTTTTGCATACGGTGATTCAGTTCCTTGCACAAATATGGTATCTAAAACTGTTAAAAACGACCTGGTTGATTTATTGCTATAACTACATTTTTCAACTTTTAACTGTATCAAAACTAGGAATCCTTATGAAAATGTTATGGTTTTCCTCTGAATTTTCGGATCAATCTTAATTCTTCAGTTAATGGTTGGATACACTCATAAGTTCTACGACAACAAAATACCTATAGAAATTCTCCTGATGCCTCGTTAAATATTAAATCTTAACGACTTTAATAGAATATTTCAATAATAATCGTAAATATTAAGCACATTATTATCTAAAGAAATAAAAGAGCACAAATAAAACATTAAAACATGACATAGTCTTCCATTGAAGTACACGTTAAGGAAAGTTGGCTCCCTGTGCCACGCCAAGAAATGTTTCTCGTCGGAATCGATCCTTCAAATCTACAAATCAACCATTCGCCCTTGCGTGGAGTATTGCTGCCATATATGGTCTTGAGCCCCTTCTAATTGTCTCAAGGTTCTTGATAAAATCCAGAGACGGATATGCAATGTAATTGGCCCTGATCTGGCAGCTCGTCTGCAGTCGCTCACTCACAGACGTGCCGTCTCCTCCCTCTGTCTTTTTTTACAAATACTTTCACGGTAACTGCTCCGATGAGCTGCTTTCACTGGTTTCCAGACTTCATTAATTTAAGCGTTCTACTAGGCTGGCATCTCGCTCTCACCCTTTCACTGTCGAAACTGTTAAATGTAGCCGTCTCTTCTACTGCAATAGCTTCATGTCTCGCACTTCTCGCCTGTGGAACTTCATCCCCTTTTCCTGTTTCCCTGATACCTATAATCTCCAACTATTCAAATGTAATGTCAATCGACGTCTCCAGATGCCTTGATCTATCCCCTATAAGTTCTCTTCATTCTTTCCTCTATCACTCCTCTTTGCTCTCGCTCATAGTCTATATAACCCCTTGCGTGCTAGTGGCTTCCCGCCTTGCTTGAGGTGAAACGCTTAAAAAAACATACATAAGCGTAGAAAACGCTTGATTTTAGACCTCTGCTACCTTGCAGTTATATCCAAACACTCCAAACATAGAAAAGGCTATGGAAGTAAAGATGGTTGATTATTAATATTGACAACCTTTCAGTAACTGCTCTGTCTTAACTTTCTTTCTTTCTTTCTTTCTTTCTTTCTCTAAATCCAAACAGCGCGTTTATATGTTTCCGATCCTTTTGAGGGCTTTCTTCATCCTAATCTTCTTCCGCATCATTTAAAACTTGTTTCTTTATTTCTTAAAAACTCTGTGAAATAACATCATTTACAATCCTCGTCTTTCTTTCTTTCTTTCTTTCTTTCTTTCTTAATTCGTTCTTTCTTTTTTCTTTCTCCTTTCATTTTGTTTCTTTCTTTCTTCTCTTTTTTCTCTGTTCATTATATTGTGTAAATCTTCATTCTTCTTTGTCTGGCTTTGTCCAAAGTGCATTGTCTTTTTATCTTTCATTTTTCTACCTTCTTTTCTCTATTTTCCTTCCTTTCTTTCTGGTTAGTCTTTCTTTCTTTCTATTTCTTAAATGTCTTTTCTTTCTTTCTTTTTCGTCTGTTTTCTGTTCCTCGTTGTCTCTCTCCTTTCTCCTCTGTCTTAACTTTCTTTCTTTCTTTCTTTCTTTCTTTCTTTCTTTAAATCCAAACAGTGCATTTATATATTTCCTTCCCTTTTGTGGGCTGGCAACAGGAAAGCTTTTACAGCTCTATCCGCACAATCAAACAGTAACGGCCCATTGTTTATCTGAGGCAATGGCAGGATGTAATGTACGTGCTAAATAACTAACAAAAGAACGAATGGACAGAAAATTATAAGCGCAAATTTAGTATTTAGAAATACCATTCCACACAGACACTCAAGTCGATAAAAGAGGTTGCAAGAAATGTCCAGAACATTGGTTCTCAATAAGCATGCCGCGGCGCACTAGTGTGCCGCGCGATCCTCTTAAGTGTGTCCAGAAATATTGACACGGCACATATATATATATATATATTTATTTTTATTTATTTTTTTTTTTTTCTTGTTAGCACTTACTCGCGGTTTTATTTCAATATTAAAGCCTAATCGCATATTTATTATGAATGGAATGGGGGAGGAAGTTTCGTAGTAATAATAGTCTGAAAATTTGTGGAGTCGATGCTAGTACTAACTGGGTAGATTTATTTTGAGAAATAGGTATCAGTTTGTAAATATGTATATAGGTTGAGTAGATAGCATATTTATTTATTTAGCATAATTATTTATTTATTTATTGTCATTAGGCTATCGAATTATTTTATTTAAATGACAAAATGTGTATACAGTGTAACCCGGATATAAGAGACACGGATATAAGAGAAACCCGGATATAAGAGAGATTTTCTCTTGTCTCAAATTAGAGCCTGTGTTAATGTATATAAAATAGACCAAACCCAGATATAAGAGAAACCCGGATATAAGAGACTTCTTCTCCGGTTCCGACAACTCTCTTATATCCGGGTTACACTGTACATTTTTTTTTTGGATCTGATAGTTAGAATAGTGAATTCCTTTTGAGAAAGTGCTAGTATAGGATAGTTTTAAGTTGGGTAGGAGTGTTGGTTTAGTTAAAGATTTAGTATCGCTATGGGATTAGTATTTAAAAAGGTAAAACATGGACCTTAAACCAGCTCACCTCGGTATGGATTCCGGAAGTAGTAAACCGGATGGAGTAATAAAGACACCACTATATAGAAAAGGAGTATAAAAAGCCCTGTTTTCATTGGCTGATGCTGACTGACATATGTCAATAAGAACTGTTGTATTCCGGCCTTGCTAGTTTACGATCGTTTTTTTTTTTTTTTTTGCAATGTCGCGGTGCGTAGCACGACGCTTTCAAGGAGGCGGCCTGACTGGTCTAGAATCAGGTCAGGGTTGCTGTTGGAGCCGATATGATGCGAAACCCGAAATCGGCGATGAGAACAGTGCATCACTGAAGACCACCCTTGACGCAACTAAAATGTATTATTTAACACACACACACACACACATATATATATATATATATGTATATATATATATATATATATATATATATATATATATAAAAGTGAACATAGAAGTCAACACTTAGAGTCGACAGTCTGTTTCATTCTATATGCAATCGTGACCTGACAATTGCATATAGCATGAAACAGACTGTCGCCTCTGGAGTGTTCTTCAATGATCACTTTATATTTACACGCTCTATCTCTGATATTGAGCACTTTATCCCATAAATATAGTACACCTTAAGACTATATTTCTTCATATATATATATATATATATATATATATATATATAAATTATTGGAGGTGCAAAACCGTAATATTGCAAGGAAAAAATAATATGGATTGTTTCTCAAAGGCATTATGAAAATAACATAAGAAATAAGAGATGATAACTCTCACAAACAAACAGACCAACCGGTTTCGTTCCCAAACTCATCAGGGTCAACTGGGAACTATTTTTCAAAATTGCAGAATAAATAAGTCACACAAACAACCTACATACAATTAAAATTTAAAAAATGAAAGATTAATGGTATGGAGGGGGGAAAAAAAAAATAAAAAATAATTTTTCTTTTCTTCCTCTTTCTTTAACTTATACACATATATATATATATATATATATATATTCCTTCCTGTTTTCTTTTAAGCTGTGTGTTTTTTTCCCCCCTCCATACCATTAATCTTTCATTTTTTAAATTTTAATTGTATGTAGGTTGTTTGTGTGACTTATTTATTCTGCAATTTTGAAAAATAGTTCCCAGTTGACCCTGATGAGCTTGGGAACGAAACCGGTTGGTCTGTTTGTTTGTGAGAGTTATCATCTCTTATTTCTTATGTTATTTTCATAATGCCTTTGAGAAACAATCCATATTATTTTTTCCTTGCAATATATATATATATATATGTATATATATATATTTGGATCTGAGAACAAAACAACACTTACCCCACAGGATTTTAAATCCGGGTTCCAGGAAAAGCCAACTAATCAATACTTTTGGCTCTTCACTTGCAGAGCAAGTAATAAATAGCAGGTATCGTGTGTTTGATTTTAGACTGTTTCTCGATTTTATCTAGATCCCACTCCTCATATCACCTCAAGGTTCTAGAGTCCTTGTATATGAGATCCTGTAGGCCTTCCCTCAGTAAACAGAGGGAATGCTTACTGGCTCTGAATGTTATTGGACTCTAGCTTTCTTGAAATTCATTCTTCCCCTCTATTCCTTATCATTAATATTAATTAAATTTACAAGCTTATTTTTTATATCCCAGAAATAAACTTGATAAGGCTGGGATGAAACCAGTTGTTCTTTTTTAGCTTTTTAAAAATGCCATAAAAATTTTGCTTATTCCTAGCTATCATTAAATTTTGTACCATAAAAAACTTATTTAAATATATATATATATATATATATATATATATATATATATGTGAACATAGAAGTCAACACTTAGAGGCGACAGTCTGTTTCATGAAAACCGAAAAGAGAAAATATACAAGTAAAATAAATTGACCTAAATTCATCCAAGTAAATAAATAAACAAACCAATTCCGATAAAGTTACCGTTAGAAAAAAACAAATAAAGATAATCAACCCAAATAAACACAAATTAAAAACTGTTCCTGCCAAAATAATAGTTATAATAAACTACAACAACCAACCCCAAAACCGAACAAATAGCTTTAATTAAATTCTCAAACCAAAACAAAACTATTAAATAAGTGATATAAACAATTTTTTCTACGTTAATAAAAAACACCGATTAAAAAATAAGTAAATAAATAAATAAAATAAGAAACAAAAAATAAATAAAAACGAGCAAAATAATTTAACCCATATAAATAAATAAACGACTTCCGGTAAAATAACCGCCATATTACACTACCCACAATGCACCACTGACCCGTATATATATAAATAGCCGAGAAAAATAACAGCACACGTGGCCTGACGATTGCATATAGCATGAAACAGACTGTCGCCTCTAAGTGTTGACTTCTATGTTCACTTTTATATTTACACACACTCTAACTCTGATATTGAGCACTTTATCCCATAAATATAGCACACCTTAAGACTATATTTCTTCATATATATATATATATATATATATAGTGTGTGTGTGTGTGTGTGTAAGTAGTAATGGTAGACATGAAAAACAATGAAAACATTGACTTGCATAATAAAATATGATATTTACAAATGTAAATATATGAGATTACGGCATTAGTTTGGAAAGAAAATATAGCTAAATTTAGATGACGCCTATTGTTTTGCCTTCGTAGCCTAATTGACGAGACGCTACCAGGGAAAAACAACTTCCCAAATTTCTAATCCGAGAATTGCAAGAAAATGCATGAAAAATACGGGTTAAAATATATCCTGAAAAGATCTTTAGTATTTACTTTCAATCCGGGCCTTTTTAAAGGATGTAAAAGTTACCTGAATGTTGCAATTAAGGTCAATTGCTTGATCGGTTCGTTTTCTAAGGTTTATTAGCACGATGCAAGTTGTTTAACCCTTTGAACCCTGTGTTCCTGAACAATTTTAACCCCCCTGCCTGAGCTCCTGGGTCAAAATTTGCAAATAATTTATATGTAATGATTCACGGTAGATATAAAAATAGTTACAAGTGTTTACCCACTATTCAACCGGTGACTGGGCATGAAGTCATTTTTCTCTACCACCGTTCAACCGGTGGCTGGGCAATGCGTCATTTTTCTCTACCACTGTTCAACCGGTGACAGGGCATTAAGTCTTTTTTTTTCTCTACCACTTTTTAACCGGTGACTGGGCATTAAGTCATTTTTCTCTACCACCGTTCAACCGGTGGTTGGGCAATGCGTCATTTTTCTCTACCACTGTTCAACCGGCGACAGGGCATAAAGTCAGTTTTTTCTCTACCACTGTTTAACCGGTTTCTGGGCAATAAGTCATTTTTCTCTACCACCGTTCAACCGGTGGCTGGGCATTGCATCATTTTTCTCCGCCACTGTTCAACCGGTGACAGGTTTCAAAGGGTTAAAGCCACAAAATATTTTTACATTGTACGAATTTTTTATTGGAAATAATAATAATTTACTGATACAAGTCTTACTAATTAACCCATAGCTGGGGGAAAGAGGTAGATTAATACCTTTCCCTAGGATATTTATACGTAAGTGAATATAAAGAACTCAACTGGAATTGGAACTCGGCTCTCCAATTATCAATTCCAAGCCATTATCCATTACACCAGCTGCACATCCAAGCCTACAGCACCTGGTATTTACAAGTTACCCATCTAGGTACTGACCATGCTCGATATTGCTTAACTTCGGTCATCGTGCGGGAACTGGTGTTTCAACGTGATATGGCCGTAAGCCCATATGAAGAAAATACTAGAGGCAGCAAAAAGGGTTTCTACAGAAGGATGCTGAGAATGCGATGGATTTAACATGTGAGCAACGAGGAAGTTTTAGCGAAAATGGTGACTAGAAGGACATTTGTACTTCGACTCATAGACAGTTGAAATTTATGTGACATAATGAGGAAAACGGGCTTGGTAAATTTGACACTCACAGGGTATACTAAAGTCAAAATGGGCAGAGGGAAACATCGAGTAACTTACATAACGTGCTTGTTTAAATGTCTGGCTGAACAGGGAACGGGAGCGACTGTAAAAAACAGCAAATACTGTTAAGAGATGTTGCAGTTTTTTGTGTATATGTATGTAACTAGTGAGCCAGTCAAAATGATTTGACTCACTTTATAGACCACCAATAGAAGGTTAACCAATCAGAAGACGTAGAACATTCAATCCGTCGTCTATAAAGGCGGCCATTTTGTTTACTTTATCCGAATGTCTAGTACTAGCTTGTCAGGCGAAGAGGAACAGAAGGAAGAACTACGCTCTGCTACTTTTACCAAAATATCCACTGCTAACCTGAACAACGCTTCCCTACTGTCTTCGAAATATTCACTGCTAACCTCTGGATTCTATACTCAAAGACGACCGTCATCATGAATAACAAGAGATACAAAGGATAGGAAGTTGTGGAGCGCCATGATTGTCAACTTCTTGAAGGGATATGGCACATAAAAAACCTTATGTCACTTGTCTTCTTATCTCCAAGATGGAAGTTCGAATTCACACAGTAATCCCTTGATCGTTTTGTTAGATTTACAAATAAAAGAAACCTCTATAGATTTACGTGGCATGTTATGTAGACAGATCGCTTTAAAGAATTTTCACTATTCTCTCTTTTTGGCAATTACAGTCATTAAATTGAGATGTATTCATCAAGACCATTTATTTCAGTTATATTTCCAGATAATGGAGGTTGATGCTGTTTGCTTTCTTTTGCGGGGTAAAGTTTGTATGTTTGTTTTTTTTAAGCATTTCATCCCAAGCAAGGCGTGAGTGCCACTAGCACGCAAGGAGTTACAGAAAGTGGGAGCAAGAATAAAGAGACGTGATAGAGGAAAGATGAAGAGAAGGACGGGGAATAGATCAAAACATCTGGAGATATCGATTGACATTACATTTGAATAGCTGGAGATTATAGCTATCATGGAAGCAAGTAATAGGAAGGGAGTTTCACAGATGGGAAGTGTGAGACATGAAGCTATTGGAGTAGATGAGACGGCTACATTTAACCGTTTCGATAGTGAAAGGGTAAGACTGAGATGCCAACCTAGTGGCACGTTTAAATTCATGCAGTTTGGGAACTAGCGAAAGTAGCTCGTCGTAGCAGTTACCGTGAAAATATTTGTAGAAAAGACAGAGGGAAGCGACGGCACGTCTGTGTGAGAGAGACTGTAAACGAGACGCTAGATCAGGGTCAATTACATTGCATATCCGTCTCTGGATTTTGTCGAGGATCTTAAGACAAACAGCGGAGGCTCCAGACCATATATGGCAGCAGTATTCGATGCAAGGGCGAATTATTATTATTATTATTATTATATTTTGATTTCTGCTATGGTCATACAACCTACCAAGTCCACGGGAATACCTAAGACAGGTAGTGCTGTGCTGTTATGGTTACATTTCATGATTTGTTTTTCTAAATCCCATAACATCGCTAGCATTACATGGACAAAATTCTTCTTAGTGTGTGGGCTGTACTTATCAAGACAATTTTTTTTTATTTCTCTTAAGCTGGGATTTACAGGAATTTTTTTCACTGTGTTGTTTTGTTCCTTTTTTATCATTCCAAGCGCACCTACTATGACTGATACTATTCTTGCTTTCAATTTTCACATTTTTCTATTTCGATTTCCAGGTCTGTATACATCGATTATTATTATTTGTGTCTGGTATGTTTCCTGCTTTGTATTCTGCAGAGTCGGTTCCAATTTATAGTCCTCAGGCCCTATAGAAGAATTGTCATTTAAGTAATAACACATTTCTTAGTATATGGGATGTTCCTAGTAGGGCGATCTTCTGGGCAACCTTGTATGTTGCTGTTACCTGTACACTGTTAGTAAAATTGTCCATTCCTTTTCTTATGATGTCCAGAGCTCGGATTACTATTGGTAGAGTCCCAATATTCATTTCCAATATCATGTTAATCTTGATCTCGAGGTCCTTGTATTTGGACAATTTCTCGATCATTTTCATGGAGGTGTTTCTCTCAGATGGTACTGCTATGTCAATAACCAAACACTTCCTGAATTTCTTGTCTTTTATAATAATATCAGGTCTGCTGGCTTTTATTTCCCTGCCAGTTTGAATTGGCATGTCCCAGAGGATAGTTACATCATTATTTTGGGTAACTGTGTCTGGTTGGTGTTCATGCCATCTCTCAGTGGTTTCGATTTTATGCTTCTTGCATATCTTCCACTGCACATCGGTTATGTCTGTGGGTATATTCCTTTTTTTGCTAGTTCCGTACATTGATAGGATCAGCTTACGAAGCTTTGGTCCTGAGCTACAATAATTAGGCCTTCTGTTTCAACTTTCAAACCGGGGCTCCTCAGCACCACATTTATTTCGTTCCTTTGTTTTAGTTATTTGCCATGTAACGCCTTGTCCTCCCAGTTTTTTGGTAATTTCATTTTGCCAGTTTTTTTTTGGGGAATTCAGGTATATTAAGCTTATTATCATTATTATTATCATTATCTCAAGAAGAAGATATCTGAGAGAGACTTCCTCCTTGCAATGAAATATGAAAGGAATGCATACGTGTCATGTTGACTCATAGCTGTGAAGGTCTGAACTGGTGAAACCAAGGAATGTAGTTCGCTCGAATATTTGTCACAAGAACAGCGTCTGGCTAGCGAGAAACTAGCATCGTTTCGGATTTGGGGAAATGCGTTGTAGGATCGAAAAATAATTCATAACAGACAAAGCTTTTGAAATCTGTCACGGCTTGAAAGTAAAGATTAGGTAGCGCCAAAGCAGATATGACAGCAAGACTCCAGTTTTAATCTAAACTGGTTCTTGTAAAGATATAGCATGGCAGGAGTTGATCGTGCAACGCTTTGTCCTTCCAATTATTTTTGTAATTTCATTTTTGCTAAGTTTTCTGTTTTCTGTCTTACTCGTTTTTTTTTGGTGGGTGGGGGGGTAGAGCTTCAGGTATATTAAGCTGTTTTTTGAAGAGTGCAGCTTCTTTGTTAATGGAGTGGATTTGATGTTTTGCCATTTGCAGGAGAGGGTCATTGGTTTTTGTGAGGTATGAATCCAATCCAATTATTATCATTATTACTGTTGTTATTGTTATGGGATCTTACCCATAATAATAATAATGGACTATTCCATACTTAATAAATACTGCGCCTGGGGAGTAGGCAAGGGGTCAGTCGTTCACCTCTGAACTGACTGTTCGGTTCAACTCTCTTCCTACGGGCGAGAGGAACCCGAAGGAGGCTACGCCGAAGGGCGGAGTCTCCTTCGGGGAGGTTAAACCGGCCCAGAACCCGTTTATACGGGTTCAAATGGGCTATTTGGCACGGCCGCCCCTAATGGCTCGGGAATGCCCACGTTAAAAGGCCTTGTGCCACATGACACCCTCGTGGGGGTGACTGAATATTGTCAGTCGCTCACTTTTGAACAGACTGCTGGGTTTAAACTCTCTTCCTACGGGCGGGAGGAACCCGAAGGAGGCTACCCCGAAGGGCGGAGTCTCCTTCGGGGAGGTAAACTCGGCCCAGAACCCGTTCATACGGGTTCAAATGGGCTATTTTTGGCCGAGCCTAATGGCTCGAAATTCCCACGTTAAAAGGCCTTGTGCCACATGACACCCTCGTGGGGGGTGACTGAATATCGTCAGTCGCTCACTTTTGAACAGACTGCTGGGTTTAAACTCTCTTCCTACGGGCAGGAGGAACCTGAAGGAGGCTACGCCGATGGGCGGAGTCTCCTTCGGGGAGGTAAGCTCGGCCCTGAACCCGTTTATACGGGTTCAAATGGAAACTATTTTTTGGCCGAGCCTAATGGCTCGGGAATTCCACGTTAAAAGGCCTTGTGCCACATGACACCCTCGTGGGGGTGACTCAATATCGTCAGTCGCTCACTTTTGAACAGACTGCTGGGTTTAAACTCTCTTCCTACGGGCGGGAGGAACCCGAAGGAGGCTACGCCGAAGGGCGGAGTCTTCTTCGAGGAGGTAAAACCGGCCCAGAACCCGTTTATACGGGTTCAAATGGGTTATTTTTTGGACGAGCCTAATGGCTCGGGAATGCCCACGTTAAAAAGGCCTTGAGCCACATGACACCCTCGTGGGGGTGGGTGACTGAATATTGTCATTCGTTCAACTCTGAACCGACTGTTCGGTTCAACTCTCTTCCTACGGGCGGGAGGAACCCGAAGGAGGCTACGCCGAACGGTGGAGTCTCCTTCGGGGAGATAAAACCGGCCCTGAACCCGTTTATACCGGTTCAAATGGGCTATTTTTTGGCCGAACCTAATGGCTTGGGAATTGCCCACGTTAAAAAGGCCTTGTGCCACATGACACCTTCGTGGGGGGGGGGGTGACTGAATATCGTCAGTAGTTCAAGTCGAGTCAAGAGTCGAGTCAGAGGCAGTCCGAAACAGAGTCGCGTTCAGACGATTACTACAAGACATTGGAATAGTGATACTGGTCGAGACTACATTGTTCTCTCTACTAAACCTGATTGTTCATACTAACACTTCTACTTCTCTGTATATATTCCTGTTTGTAATATATCTGTGTTATTCCATATCCGTGTTCAAGTTCTTCTTATTTGGTTCTACCTTGGACTATCACCGTGGTACAAGGGACCGGACCATAACAATTATTATTATTATTATTATTATTATTATTATTTCCTTTGATTTCTGGTGTGTACACACTTCTTTCCGGGTCCCGCCCAGAGACCAAAAGTTAGAAATGGCATCATGATATTTTCCACA